TACTGGGGCCTTTCTCTCTCTTTAGCTCTCATAATATTCTCTTTATATATCTGGGTGCTTCCGTGTTGGGTGCATATATTACAGATTAAAAATTGTTAGTATATCCTCTTGCTGAATTGACCCCTTTACCATTATATAGTGACCTTCTTTGAAATATATTTTATTGGAGATAAAACTCCTGCTTTTTTGGTTTCCATTGGCAAGAAATTTTTTTCCATCCCTTTATTTTCAGTCTGTGTGTGTCTTCATAGGTGAAGTGTTTCTCCTGTAGGCAACAGATGAATGGGTCTTGTGTTTTTATCCGTTCAGGCAGTCTATGTCTTTTGATTGGTCATTTGAGGATACTTACATTCCATGCTATTATCGATAGGTAAGGACTTACTCCTGCCATTTTGTTATTTGTTATCTGATTGTTTTTTTCCTTCTTTTTTTTTTTTTTTTGGAGATGGAGTTTTGTTCTTGTTACCCAGGCTGGAGTGCAATGGCATGATCTCGGCTCACTGCGACCTCTGCCTCCTGGGTTCAAGCAATTCTCCTGCCTCAGCCTCCTGAGTAGCTGGGACTACAAGCGCGCACCACCATGCCCAGCTAATTTTTGTTTTTTTAGTAGAGACAGGGTTTCACCATGGTGACCAGGATGATCTTGATCTCTTGACCTTGATCTCTTGGCCTCCCAAAGTGCTGGGATTATAGGCGTGAGCCACCGTGCCCGGCCGAATTTCTTTTCCTTCTTTCTTTCCTTCTTGTCTTCTTGTTGTGAAGATGTTCTTCTCTGGAGATATGATTTAGTTTCTTGCTTTTTATTTTTTGTGTATTCACTGTATATTTTTTGGCTTGAGGTTACCATGAAGCTTGCAAATACTATCTTATAACCCATAATTTTAACCTGATAACAACTTAACACTATTTGCATAAACAAACAAACAAGCACAAAGAAAATTAAGAAAACTTTACACCTTAACTTCGTTCCCTGACTTTTGAACTTCTTGTGGTTTCTATTTATATCTTATTGTACTGAGTATGTCTTCAAAAGTTGTTGTAGTTACTTTTTTTGATTAGTTCATCAATTAGTGTTTCTGCTTAGCATAAGAGTAGTTTGCACACCACAGTTCCAATGTAATAATATTCTGTGTTTTTCTGTGTACTTGCTACTACTAGTGAGGTTTGTACCTTCAGGTACTATATTGCTCATTAATGTTCTTTTCTTTCTTTCTGAATGAAGTACTTCCTTTAGCATTTCTTGTACAACAGGTCTGATACTGATGAAATCCCTCAGCTTTTGTTTGTCCGGGAATGTCTTTATTTCTCCTTTATGCTTGAAGGATATTTTCACCACATGTACTGTTATAGGGTAAAAGTTTTTTCTTTAGCACTTTAAATAGATCATGCCACTCTCTCCTGGCCTATAAAGTTTCCACTGAAAATCTGCTGCCAGATGTATTGGAGCTTCATTATATGTTATTCATTTCTTTCCTCTTGCTGCTTTTAGGGTCCTATCTCTACCCTTGACCTTCAGAAGTTTGATTATTAAATGCCTTGAGGTAGCCTTCTCTGGGTTAAATCTGCTTGGTGTTCTATTATCTTTCTGAACCTGAATTTTCATATCTTTCTGTAGGTTTGGGGGTTTGGGAAGTCTTCTGTTATTATCACTTTGAATAAACTTTCTAACCCTATCTCTTTCTCTACCTCCTTTTTAAGGCCAGTAACTCTGAAAATTGTTCTTTTAAGTCTATTTACTGAATCATGAAGGCATGCTTCATTGCACTTTATTCTTTTTTCCTCTATGTTTTTTTTTTTTTTGAGACGGCGTCTCGCTCTGCAGTCCAAGTTGGAGTGCAGTGGTGTGATCTCCGCTCACTGCAACCTCTGCCTCCTGACTTCAAGTAATTCTCCTTCCTCAGCCTTCTGAGTAACTGGGATTACAGGCATGTGCCACCATGTCTGGCTAATTTTTGTATTTTTAGTAGAGATGGGGTTTCATCATGTTGGACAGGCTGATCTCGAACTCCTGACCTCATGATCTGCTCACCTCAGCCTCCCAAAGTGCTGGGATTACAGGTATGAGCCACTGTGCCTGGCCTCATCTATGTATTTTCAACTGGTCCGTCTTCAAGTTCAGTAATTCTTTCTACTGCTTGATCAATTCTGCTGTTAAGGGACTCTGATGTATTCTTGAGTACACCAATTGCATTTTTCAGCTTCAGAATGTCTGTGTCTTTCTTTTTAATAATTTCAATCTCTTTGTTAAAATTATCTGATAGGATTCTAAATTTATTCTTTGTGCTATCTCGAATTTCCTTGAGTTTCCTCAACACAGCTATTTTAAATTCTCTGTCTGAAAGGTCACATATCTGTTTCTCTAGGATTGGTCTCCAGTCCCTTATTTAGTTCATTTAGCGAGGTCATGTTTTCCCACATGATGTTGATGTTAGTAGATGCTATTCAGTGTCTGGGCATTGAAGAGTTATGTATTTATTGTAGTCTTCACTGTCTAGGCTTATTTGTAGCCATCTTTCTCTTAAGGCTTTCCAAGACAATTTGGAAAGACCTGGGTGTTGTGATCTAAGCTGTATCTGCTCTAGGGGGCACCCCACGCCCAGTAATGCTATGGTTCTTGCGGACTCGCGGAGGTACCGCCCTGATGGTTGGGACAGGATCTGGGAGAATTCTCTGTATTACCAGGCAGAGACTCTTGTTCTCTTCCTTTACTTTCTCCCATATGTACAGAGTAACTCTGTGTGCATTTGCTCTGAGACATTTAAAGTTGGGGGTGGAGTGACACAAGCACCCCTGTGTCACCACCAGAGTGACTGCATTGGGTCAGACTTGAAACCACCACAATGCTGGGTCTCATCCAAGGCCTTTTATAACCAGTTCCTGGCTACTGCCTGTTTGCTCAAGGCCCAAGGACTCTACAGTCAGCAGGTAGCAGAGCTAGTTAGGCCTGTGTCCTTCTGATAGGGCAGTGAGGTCTCCAGTCTCCATGTGGGTCCAGAACTGCTGTGCAGAAGTCAAGGACTAGAGTGAAAAATCTTAGACGTGTACCTGGTGTTCTACTGGATTGCAGCTGAACTGACACTCAAACCACACAACAAAGTTTTTTTCCACTCTTTTGTTCCTTGTCCAAAGACAGAGGAGCCTGACCTCATAGCCACCACCACCCTAGGTCATATGGAGTTTTGCCATTGATGTTCCCTTAAAGCCCAAGGTCTCTTACATCAGCTTGTGGTGAATGGCGCCTGGTCTGGTACACATCATTCATGTCAGTGAGCTCCCCACTGGCCCAGAGCAGGTCCAGAAAATGTCATCCAAGAGTCAAGTGCTGGAATTACAAACCACAATAGTCTACTTGGGACTCCTCCTCGCTGTGGCCGTGCTGGAACCTAAGGTGTAAGACAAAGTCTCCTTGACTTTTCTTTCCACTTTTCTCAGACAGAAGTCTCTCTCCATAGCCACCACAGCTGCGAATGTCCCGAGTCTCACCTGAAGCCATCACATCTCAGAGGCTTACCCACAGCCCTCGATGTAGTACCCAGCTATCAGTGCCGGTTATTCATGGCCCAAGGTCTCTTCAGATAGCAGGTGATAAATTCTGCCAGCACTGCGTCTTTGCCTTGAAGGCACTAGGTTCCCTTCTGGACCAGGGTCTGTCTAAAAATGTCAGTCGGGAGCTAGGGATTGAAAAGGGGGCTTCATGATTCTGTTCATTGCCCTGTCTTGCTGTGGCTGAGCTGATATCCAAGATGCATGATGAAATTCTCCCCATTCTTCCCTCTCCTCTCCTCAGGTGGAAGAGGGGGGTCTCCTTTAAAACCTCAAACTGTGCAGTTTGGGGTTAGTGAAGGGGTGATGCCAACATTCCCTTGAGCTGGTGTCTCAGTATGGTGCATGTCCCCCAATCCAGTGCCTCTGAGCCTAGTTCTGCACTATGCCTAGCCTATGAAGTACAGACCTTATGGCCTAGACTGCCTTTCAAGTTTACTTGGAGACATGGAGCGTTGTAGCCCTGGGTGGCAAAGTTTTCAGGCAGTCTAGTCAGGCCTGCTGTGATCAGAGACTCCCCTGTGGCACTAGGCCTCACCTATGAGTTGCAGTCCTTCTGGTCCAGACTTCCATTCAAGTTTACTTGGAGACATGGAGTGTTGTAGCCCTCAGTACCGAGGTATATGGGCACTCAGATCAGGACTGCTGGAATCTGTGGTTTCCCTGTGGCTAGGGCTGGTTTAAATGCTCCTTCTGTGGCCAGCCATCAGCTGAGTTTGGTCTGGTTTTTCTTTCTGCTCTAACAGGACAGCTCTGAGTTCAGTGCCTCACAATTGCTGTGTTCTCCCTCCCCCAGCACCCAGAGACACTCTCAACACCATGCCTCCACTGTCAGGGTTTGGAGAGTGGTTGTGTCCATGATTCATGACTATTTTTCCTATCTCTTCAGTGCCTCCGTCAGCAATATGAAGTTAAAACCAGATAAAAGAGTTATCACCTGATTGTTGATTCTTATGAAGGTGTTTTTTGGTGCAGAGATAGTTGTTAACTTGGTTTCCTGGTGGGGGACAGGGAGAAGAGAATGATCTGTGAAGCCTTCTATTACGCCATTTATATACGCCCAGTCCTCATTGTGTGTTTTGTTTGGGATGTTTGGTTTTTTTGAGATGGGGTCTCACTCTATCAGCCAGGTTGGAGTGCAGTGGCACAATCTCAGATAGGACTTCCCCGTTGAGATCTTGTACTCCTTCTAGCAGAGAATTCCAATATTAGGAGGAGACCTATTCCTGTTCACTCATCTAGGCCTTTGAATTGGAGTCCTAGAGACGCTGACAGTGACCTAGCTTTCTGGATGGAGTGATTCTGGGTGCTGAGCAAACGAAGGAACCCAGACTCAGAGAGGGATTGCAATCTCATGTGCCTGGAACCCGACACAGCTTCACGAGAACATTCAGATCACTGCACGTGGGTCAAACTATCAACTTTTCAACATCACAAGAATTAAAGGAAGTCTACGCTTTCAAGACAAATAGAAAACTGGTTTATTTGTCCTCTGCACAGATCCCTACTGAGGACACCACCTGCAAGCCACTGCTGCTGGGATGACTCCTGAGGCCTATGGGGCTGCATAATGGCTGCACTCCCAGTCCCAACGCCTTGTGTACAGGGATCTTCAGAGGAGAGTTGCTCTCACATCCTTCAGTCCATTTCCACCCCATGGGAGGGTATAGACTGGCCCAGAATTAACACACAGCCTGAGAAGGAAGCAGTAGGTAACGGCATGGGCTGAGGCTCCTTCCACATGCTCACACTTGCCCCAGAAGCTTGCAGCCTTGAGTGGCCACCCAAGGTGACAATGCCCTCAGGAGCACTCTTTGGTCCCTGTTTCTCAGTTGCATAACCTGAAACTTTCCCACCAACATCTCCAGAGAGAGGAATCCTTTCCCAGGAGAATTATGGCCAGGAGATCAAGAAGAAGGTGGGATTGGTGTCCTACTGACCTGAGAACTTTCTTTCTTTCTCCATGATACATCACCCCTCAGAGCACACCCCAAATCCATGCAACCATGCACCCAAGTCCTGGCTTCACAGAGCCTTGGCAGGCCTTGGAGAACTCCAGTAGATAATGGCATCCACCAAGAAGGTAGGCATGTAGCTCAGGGGAAGGTAGAAAAGTTTGGCATCCCAGCCAGCTGAGTAGCGAGTGCGGGGGTGGCAGGCAGTCAGCGCATGCTCTATGCAGTTGGTCACCAAGGACAGATCCTGTGTGCACTTACACACTGATTGTTCAGTTGACTCCTTATCTGTTAAGAATGAGAAATGATCCATGTATATTTCCACCTGCAGCCAATCCTGTTTTGAATTCAACTTAGAATGGAAAGGTTCTAAGAACCGCCCCCACAACCCCCAGGCAAGCAGTGCCTCAAGTCTGTTTTATCCAAACTCCCTGAGTTGGAGCCCATCCATGAGAAAGTAAGAAGTGTTCCACACTAAGCCATGTTTGTCTCTATTTGGGAATATCTGGACTGCATAAATGATGGTCTCCACGCACAGTAGAAGTTTCAGAAAGAAAAACCAGCTGTCTCTAATGCCAGCTTGTGATCAAGCCCCCAGTGTCTTCCCTTTCTGGCTTCACTTTGCTTCTCCAAATAATGATGAGTTCAGATGGACACTGGTCTCAGGTTCTGAGAAGCCTGGACACTTGCTTTACATGACCAGTTGACCACACAGCATCTATCATGGAAATGGGGCTAAAGGTCTCCACTTTGTGGGTCAGGAAGAGCCTGGAGATTAAACTCTAATGCCCTTCAGACACCAATGGTAGGCCAGGGATTCCCCACGAGGGTTTGCTTCTCTCCCTGCTGTCCACAGCTTACTCACAGGATGTAAGGAACTTCTTGCCATATATCTGCTTGACCTCTGGCCTGGCCTGGTCCCAAGTATCCAGGAAGCTCTTAAAGATTCTATCCTTACTGACTATAGCAGTCTTGAAAGAGCCAGGCTCAATCACAGCCACCTTCACCCCAAAGTAGGAGAGCTCCCTCCTGCAAGACAGAGAAACAGAGTGGGAAAACCTTAGGGGTCTTAGAAGGTAAAACACAAAGAATAAAATATCCAGGTCCAATTCTGACTCTGGCAGTTTCTGACCAAGAGATCCATCCAGGAAAGAGGAATCATCAAAGAAACTCTGACCAGGGGCCCCTCTGCCACCCAGCACTCAGGAATGTGCTTCCCACTGCATCGCCAGCCCAATCCAGGAACAGGAAGATGAGAGCATCACACATGAAGACAGAAAAGGATCTCATGAAAGGGAGATCCCTTTCATTGGAGGCCGAGGCAGGAGAGTTGCTTGAACCTGGGAGGCAGAGATTGCAGCGAGCTGGGATTGCGCTACTGCACTTACAGGCTGGATTCAAGGTACTTCCTGGAAAAGCCTTCCCCACAAGGACAGGAGCAGGAAGACCTGGGTGGGCCCCATCCCAGAACCATACCTGAGGGAGTTGGAGAAGGCTTCTATGCCGTACTTGGAGATGCTGTAGCCTCCACTGAAAAGTGATATCCGGCCCAAGACACTTGAGACATTGACCACATGGCCCCTGGCCTTCCTCACTAAGGGCAGCAGGTTCAGAGTCACATCAATTAACCCCAACAAGTTCACGTCCAGTATGGTCACAAAGTACTGCTTGGTCAGCCACTCATTGGGGGCGATGGGCAAGGTAATACCAGCATTATTCACCAAGTCCCAGAGTCCTGGGACAGTGGGGAGATGAGAGAGCATCACCGTGTTGCACCTGTGCAGATGGACACAGTCAGGGTGCAATTCACATCACAATAAAGTGAAGGCAGAACGACAGGTGTGGGAGGGAAGGAGGACATAGCAAACAACACCAGGAGATCTGCAGTCTTGGGGGCTGGGCATTTGGCAGCTGGTGGGCCACAGAACCCAGGTCTTTCTCCATTTACTCTTCCGGGACCAGCCCACTGCCTGAAAGACAACAAGCTATTACCCCTATTTAAGCATTACAGGAAATCATGTTAAAGAGATATTGTCCATGTATTAGTCTGGAAACATGAAGATCAATGTTCGGTTACTTAAACATTAACATTGCCTTGCAGACATTATAGACACCTGAACTTTCATACCTTATATAATGAGTGTTCAACAACTATCTGTTGATGAAATAAGAGACAAGAGAAGGGCCGGGCGAGGTGGCTCACGCCTGTAATCCCAGCACTTTTGGAGGCCGAGGCAGGAGAATTGCTTGAACCTGGGAGGCAGAGATTGCAGCAAGCTGGGATTGTGCTACTGTACTATAGCCTGGCAACAGAGCAAGACTGCATCTCAAAAAAAAAAAAAAAAGAGAGAGAGCTCGAGATTAGAGAGGAAGAGTAAGGGAGAGAGAGAAGGCAGAAAGAGACAGGCCTGAAATCCTAGGCTTGGGGGATCTTGGAGAAGATCCTGTGTTTGACCTCAGGGCATTGGTCTTGAAACATCCTGTACTGATACCCAGTAACATTCCTACAGAAAGCGCTGGAAAATTCCAATGCACAGGCTTTGGGGAGGAGGCAAGGCTGCCTCATCCCACCCAGTACACAGACTTCACCTTCTGCCCCAGAAAATGTCACCGTTTCCTCCTGCTGCATCAGAAGCCCAATCTTCATCCTTCCCTTCTGTCCCAAGTTCACTCAGCTCTGGGAAAATCTCTTTGGCAGATGCAAACACACAATCCCCAGGACTTCACATCAACAGTTTTCCACCCACAGAGCTAGGGAGCAGAAGCACAGGGTCCCTTGAGTCAGGACAGGAGGTGGCACTTGTCGATCTCAAAGGGTTGGCCCAGGGACATGAATCTGTCCCCTGCTCAGAAACAAATGCAGACTCCTGCACCCAGACATCTCGTTATTCAGAATTCAGTCATTACCCCCCACACACAGATGCTGGCAAATCAAAGTCCACCAAGATGACATTTGTGATGGTAAACAGCAGAAGGAATTTCCTATCCAACCACTCAGTATGAATTACATAGGTAAGGCTATTTGAAGGATACAGTTTTCTACATCATTAGATACAATTTTATAAAAATGATCATTACGGTAGAAGAATGTTTTTCTTCTCTATAGAATATAAGGTGACAGAAACTAAGAAAAAAATAGAATCTTAATTATGTAAAATTGTAAAAAGGACTTATGTGTGAACAATTTCAGAGAAAATTCTGTTTTCGTCTTTATTCTTTTCAGTATTTTCCACAAAGATCATATTTTGCATTTATTCTTACATAAAATAAATCCATGTTTCTTTCTTCACCTGTAATAATACAGATGAATTAGCGTAGTGAAAGGAAGAAAGAAAGAAAAAGTAACCCCTTACTACTTCTGCCTTCCTTAACCCATCCTGATGCTGATACCCTCCTCCGAAGATGAGGATGGTCGTGGCTCTTAGTGGACGCCAATGGGCCCGGCAGGAACAAGGTAAAATGCTGGGAACACGAGCCCGGCTCCAGCATAGCCACAGCCTCCGTGCACACCTGCAGCCCTGTGCTCCCTTCTCAGCCATCCTCCAGCAAGTCTCCAGATCTCTAGCCCAGGCCCTCAGCGTCAAACAACCCATGAATTCTGCTTAGAAAGGAGGGGAGAGGATAGAGAGGAATTCTGGAGAGAAAATTCTCATTGGGGCAGACTTTCCCCAAGACTACACACCTCCACTGTTGGGAGTGGGTAAGGATTGGAAAGAGACGGAGCTCAGGCCAGCCTGATAAGTGGGAAATACTAAGAAGCTACTGCTACTTCAACCTAGAAAGACACTGTAGAAATCTTCCCGGGAAGAAGACAGGAGGTGGCCCCTTCACATGGAAGGTAGAAACAGACAGGAATCTGGATGGTACCTCTGTTCCCCACGCGCTCCTTCACCCACTGGGCGGCTGCAGCAACGCTCTCTGTCTTGGTGACGTCCAGGGTCACCGTCTCCAGCCTGTCAGATGTCTGGCGCCTCAGTTGCTCCGCTCCTTTCTCCGTCAGACACGCAGCCAGCACGTGCAGGCCTCGTTCATCCAGCTGTCTTGCCAGTAGGTTCCCGAAGCCCGAGTCACAGCCCGTGATCAACACGCACTTGTCTCTCAGGTGACTCACCACCTGCCTCTCCCGGTACCAGCACAGAAGGTAGTACAGGCCCACAAAAACTGCCAGGTAGAGCCACATGCCTTTGCAGAGGACAGACACAGAAAGGATGTGGGGGAACCCAGAGTCTGGCCTCTGTTCACACAGGAGGACTTAAGAACACAGAGGGCTGGTAGGCAGGGAGGCCCTCAGGCACTTTGGCAGGGAGTCCTCACTTTCCTCCCTGATGGCTGTCTTTCTGCAATGTATTTATTCTGGCTCCAACTCTCTACTCTTTGAACTGCTTTTGCAAGTATTCATGCGTGCCCTTGAGCACCACAAGTCCTGCCAAGTAGAAAGATATTATGACTCAGCAATGTGTCCCTAGTCCCCCGATTTCTCTCTGCCTTGCTGTGGCATACTGTGTCCATGCAGGAGCACACACATGTATTCACACAAGAACACACACAGACCACACAGGCTCACACACAGCTGCCCACACACTCTCCATGCCAAACACACCCCTCCCATCTAAGTACAAGGGTCAGAACTGTCTCTACAAAGCTCCTATACCAACCCTCCTGGTCCATGACCTTCAGAACACAGAAAAACCTTATTGGTCAGCTACACATGGTTTCCAGGCCCCTGAAGCAGAAATCCCTCTTTGAGCTTGAGTTTCCTCATCCTGCTCAGCACCCAGAATCAATCACTCCTCAGAAAACTGGGACACCGTCAGGGTCTTTAGGATAAGAAGGAGAAGGGAAAAGAGTGGACAGCAAAAGGCCCTGTCCTGCTACAGTATTTTTCTGGGGCAGAAGCAATGCAGGATCCCACAGGGGAAGTCCAACCTCAGAGGTAAAAAAAGTGGGGGGAAGGAACAGAGACTTGGAACCCACAGGAAGGAAACACCCAGGCATGCCGGGAGGAGGAATGGGAGAAATTACACGCACAGGTGTCACAGGGCTCACACACTCACCCTTGGATATACCCTATGCCCAGCCCTGGGTGCTGGCCTCTGCCCTCCTCTGCCAGGGCCCACTCCAGAATCTTCTCACTGACTAGGGCTTCCTTCAACTGCACGTTCTTAAGGGCCGAAACGCACAGAGACATTTCCCAACCTTCACGCCCACTGCTCCACTCTTATTCATCCTGAGAGTAACAGGACCCTTGCTGGGGTGGTATCTGCTCCCCAGACACTCCAGTCAGGAGCAATTACAGAAAGTCCCAGAGGGGGCAGTCAGAGGGAGGAGGCATCTGGGAGATACCCCCTCACCCCAAATGTGAAATCACCCAGATTTGCCTGTAGCTTGCAGACTTCCTCCACACTACCTAAGTCCTTTGACAACCAAAATATGTGACTGGGGCTTAAGTCTCAGTCATGAGATTTATATCTCAATAAAGTCAGGCTGTCATGGAACTGCACTGAGGTTCTCTCACCCTGCACAGCAAAGCCAAACACTGACATCAGGACAGCGACAAGTGAAAGGAGCTCTTTATTGCAGGACACTAATCAAGGATAACCCAGCGGCTCAGACTTAAGAGCCTAAGTCCCTATGGCTCACAGGTAAAGGTTTTTCAAAGCAGGGAGGCAGAACTTACAGGAAAGGTCACAAAGCAATAACTAAGGATATATATTGCTTTGACTTAAAAAGTGGGACATCTTGCAGATGGGGGTCAGGGAGCAAGTCCTAGGTGAACCAAAGATTTTCTGGTTTGTGGTTGGTTAAGGAGCCAAGGCTTTGAATAAAAATTTGGGATCAGCACAAAAGAATATTAGTTCTGGCTTGTGGGTGTCAGCTCCTCCAGGCACCTCAGGAAGGAATTCAGAATGAAGGACAGCAGTCAGAAGAGAGGCATCAGCACCCTCACCTGAGCTCTTAGTGCCAGGGGATTTACCTGGTGAAGGTCTGGACTTTTGTTTTTTTCTGGGACAGGCTCGCACTCTGCTGCCCAGGCTAGAGTGTAATGGCATGAATATGGTTCAGTGCAGCCTCAACCTCCTGGACTCAAGTGATCCTCCCGCCTCAGCTTCCCAAGTAGCTGGGACTACAGGTGTGTGCCACCATGCCTAATTTTTAAAATTTTTTTGTAGTGACTGGGTCTCACTATATCGACCAGGCTGATACAGAACTTCTGGGCTCAAAGGATTCTCCCATCTCCACCTCCCAAAATGCAGGGATTACAGACTTGAGGCACCACCCCCAGCAAAGGGGTCTGGGTTTCTAAAAATCATTTCAGGGACATGTGTGTGTTAAGATGTTATCTTTGGCTGCAGCAGAGAATCAAACTGTCTTGTGACTCTGACTTCCTTGCCTTGCTGTTGTTTTACGGTACTATTACCTTCTTGTTCATCAAATTGTTCACTGACTTCTCAGGGCTAGATAAGTATCTGGAATTTCCCTTGAAGAATCTCAAGATTTTCCTTTATTTCCATGCTTGTGGGAAGAGCGAAACAGGGCCTGAAGAGGGGTCCCTATTCCCTCACAAGTGCACATCCTGGAAAAACAGGAGCCAGAGACATGTCTGTTCCTGTTTTTCCAAAAAGGTATTCAGGAGGTTTAGTATTTATATATCTCCTTAAAGTGGAAAGAAATGTAGGTAGAGGGGCAGGTAGGCAGGCAGGTGAATGGTTACATTTCTGTTCGACTTTAGTTAGTGCCCAGCAAAGCATGACTTACATACGGTAAAGTGGAGGTTTGAGTTGGTGTTTTTATGAGCTATTTACATATTTATATATTGATGGGGTATGTGAAATGTTTTGATGCAGTCATGCAATTTGAAATAAGCACACCACGGAGAACGGGGTATCCATCCCATCAAGCATTTATCCTTTTAGTTACAATGAATCCAACTAGACTCTTTAATATGTACAATTAAGTTATAATATAATCACTCTATTGTGCAATCAAATAGTAGGTCTTATTTATTATTTCTACTTTTTACTACCCATTCACCATCCCCACCTTCCCCCGAGTCTGCCACTACCCTTCCCAGCCTCTGGAAACCATTCTTCTACTCTCTATATCCACGAGTTCAATTGTTTTAATTTTTAGATTCCACAAATAAGTGAGAACATGTTGTGTGTGTCTTTCTGTGCCTGGCTTATTTCACTTACCATAAAGATCTCCAGTTCTGGCCTGGCACAGTGGCTCACACCTGTAATCCCAGCACTTTGGGAGGCTGAGGCAGGTGGATCATCTGAGGTCAGGAGTTCAAGACCAGCCTGGCCAACATGGTGAAACCCTGTCTGTACTAAAAATACAAAAAATTATCCAGGCGTGGTGGCATGTGCCTGTAATCCCTGCTACTCAGGAGGCTGAGCTAGAAGAATCATTTGACCCAGGAGTCGTGGGTTGCAGTGAGCTGAGATCACAACATTGCACTCCAGCCTGGGCAACAAGCGTGGAGCTCCATCTCAAAAAAAACAAAAAACAAACAAAAATATCTCCACTTCCATTCATGTTGTTGCAAATGACTGAATCTCAATCTGTTTTTTCTTTTTCTTTTTTTTTCTGGATGAAGTCTCACTCGGTCACCCAGGCTGGAGTGCAGTGGCATAATCTCTGCTCACTGCAACCTCCACCTCCTGGGTTCAAGTGATTCTTCCACCTCAACCTCCTGAGTATCTGGGATTACAGGCATGCACCACCATGCCTGGATAATTTTTGTACTTTTTGTAGAGATGGCCAGGCTGATCTCGAATTCCTGACCTCAGGAGATCCACCTGCCTTGGCTTCCCAAAGTGCTGGGATTACAGGTGTGAGCAACTGTGCCTGGCTGAATCGCATTCTTTTTATGGCTGAGTAGTACTCCACTGTGTATATGTACCACATTTTCTTTTTCCAGAATCTGTTAATGGACACTTAGGTTGCTTCCAACATTCTCCAGAGACTGGGCACTAACCACAGGCTGGATCCTCTAACCATGGGCCCAGCCACAACCACTCTAGGACTTCTGCTCTGGAAAATGGAAAGCTCAAGCCCCTGAAAACAAAAGTCTTGGGAATGTTCCCAGTTAGCAGATGCTAGGTCTCCCCTAGTGACACAGAGAGAGAAGAAACAAACAGGCACAAGCCAGGATCGGGGTGGTACCTCTGTTCCCCACGTGCTCCTTCACCCACTGGACAGCTGCAGCAATGTCTCTGTCTTGGTGACGTCCAAGGTCACCGCCTCCAGCCTGTCTGAAGTCTGGCCCTTCAGCTGCTCGGCCTCCTTCTCTGTCCTACATGCAGCCAGCATCCACAAGCCTTAAGCCTCCCGCTGTCTGGCCAGTAGGTTCACAGCCTGTGATGAACACGTACTTGTCTGTCAGGTGGCTCAGCACCTGCCTCTCCCGGTACCAGGGAGAAGGTAGTACAGGCCCAGGAGGACCGCCAGGTAGAGACACATGGCTTTGCAGAGGACAGACACAGACAGTCTGGGGTGAGTCTGGCCTCTGTTCAGACAGGAGGACTTAATAACACAGAGAGCTGTGGTAGGCAGGGAGACCCTCAGGCATTTTGGCAGGGAGTCCTCAGTTTCCTCCCTGATCACTGTCTTTCTGCACCACTTTTTATCCTGGCTTCATCTCTCTGTTCTTTCAACTGCTTTTGCAAGTACCGATGCATGCCATTGCATACCCCAAGTCCTGCCCAGTGAGTAGATATCACTACTCAGGATTGTTCCCTAGTCCACCAATGTCTCTGCCTTGCTATGCCTACTCGGGTGTACACAGAGGTGTCCACACAGGCACCATACACAGACACCATGACACACACCACTCTGTTCTACAAGCAAGGGTCAGAACTTGTCTCTACCTATCTTATGATATGGTTTGGACATTTGCATGTTGAAATGTGGTCCCCAATATTGGAGGCAGGGGCTGGTGGGAGGCGTTCAGTCATGGTAGTGGATCCTGCACGGCTTGGTGCTGTCCTGGAGATACTGGAGGAAGTTGTCACGGGATCTGGTGGTTTAAAAGTGTGGCACTTCCCCGGCTCTCTCTCTTGCTCGCCATGTGACAAATCAGCTCCCTCTTTGCTTTCTGCCATAATTGTAAGCTTCCTGATGTCTTGCCAGGAGCCAAGCAGATGCAGGCACCATGCTTGTACAGCCTGCAGACCCATGAGCCAATTAAATCTGTTTTTTAATATAAATTATTCAGTCTCAGGTATTTATTACAGCAACACAAGAACAGCCTAACGCACCCTGTATACCAACACTCCTGGACCATGTGTCCCTGAACACAGACTTTACTGGAAAGCTACACATGGTTTCCAGGCACATTAGTTGGAAATTCTCTGACCTGAGTTTTCTCATCCTGCTCAGTACCCAGAATCAATCACTCCCCAAAAAGTAGGGCTCTCAAGGATTAGAAGGAAAAGGCAAAAGAGTGGACAGGAGCAGTTCCCTCCTGCTATAGTAGTTCTGTGGGACAGAAAGGAGTGGAGGACCCACAGAAGGAGTCCGACCTCACAGGTAAAGAAAGGGGGAGAGAAGGGAATGGAGCCTTGGAACCCACAGGAAGGAAGTGCCCAGGGCTGCTGGGAGGGG